GTGGTGCTGACCGGGTGGGGTCAGGATTGCAGCCGTGGTGAGATGGTGCAATGAGGCTAGTGTGAGCCTAGTAAAACTCGGGGATCAGGTGTGATCACGAATCGTACTGGCTGAGGGCCAGGGTTGTGTTGTGGACGTCGAGTCTGGGGTTATTACTGGAGTCTGGAATTCGGTTTAGACAATGCTGGTAGCATATGTTACGCCAATGGTCGTACATGTTCTTGTTTGATTGTTGTACGATTATTTGGTCCAATGCGGGGTCAATGGTTGGTCGGACATGTTCTTGTTTGATTGTTCGACGGTCAATCGGGCAGCCCTAATCCGGACCATGGGCCGTGCATCGTTGATGTTCCGGATGAATCTGGACGTGTTTTACGCTAGAGTGTTAGCCTTAGCAGGACGGGTTAGGGGATTCGAGTGTTATCTCGAAGGACACTGGCCGCGTTCGGGTCAGGTGGTGGAGACTGTAGTGAGACGGTGTTGCGTGATTCGAGTTCGAATCCGTGTTGGAAGGGGAGAATTGTAACGCCCGTGAACCAAAAAAGGGATTTTTTTGGGCATGTGTGTCGATCGACACGGAGAAAAAAAATCAGACCGACGGTTTCGGTTTTTGATTTGCTGGTTTGGGGAGCGGTTTAGGAAATCCTAGGGTTTCATTATAAAAGCGTGGGGAACACGTTTTCTCTTTTTTTTTGCCGAAATCAGAAGAGGTTAAGAGAGGAAAGAGAGTGTTTATGTGAGGATTGTGAGAGAAGTAATTTCCTGGAGAGAAAATCAATTCTGCTCGGGTTTTTGGAAGAGACGATCGGATGGGAAGATGGAATCGGATCAAAGTGAAACTTTGAGGTTAAGTTCTCCACTCTCTAATCTTGATTTATGAAGAAACGTTTTGTAAATCGGATGTGTATTCTAAGAGTTATCGTTCTTTTCCCGAGAGAGGTTTCTGTAGTTTCGTGTCTGCGATTAGTCCACTTCGAAGGAGGATTCCCGTCGAACCAGAAAGAATCAGGAGACGATCCATATGCCGTTGGAAATACCTCGCTGTCTAATTTCTAGATCAGGTTTCTGATCTTGATTCGGAGGTAATCTTCGTTCTCTGTATTCTTTCGATTTCAAGGTGTCGTCTTTGAAATCTCTGTTTTTCCAGTTCCAATCAGCGAGATTGCGGGCTATTTTCCCGTTGAATCTTAGGGAACAGAGGACGATCTACATACCGTTGTGTAGCTCTCTCTGTCTAGCTTTCAGAACAATTTTCCGATTCTGTTTCGGAGCTGTGGTTGATGAGATAATCGATTCTGAAATCAAGGTGAGTGCGCGACCATAGACCCTCGGNTTAGGATTTGATGGAATATGATTGATTGCTGTTGTTCATGGTTGTATTCGTGTTTGGATGTTGAATTTTGTGCAGGAGATCGATGAAAACGCGTCTGGAATCGATCCATGAGAGGATATGATCGATTATGGTTTTCTGTGTTTTCTGGGCTCCGTGTCGAGCGACACACGGTATTTGTGTTGAGCGACATAGACTGTGTTGAGCGACATAGACTGTGTTGAGCGACACAGAC